GTTTTGCGAGAGAACGCAAAACATCTTTGCGAGAGAACGCAAAACATCTTTGCGAGGGAACGCAAAACATCTTTGCGAGATAACGCAAAACAACTTTGCGAGGGAACGCAAAACATCTTTGCGAGGGAACGCAAAACAACTTTGCGAGGGAACGCAAAACATCTTTGCGAGGGAACGCAAAACAACTTTGCGAGGGAACGCAAAACTTTGCGAGAGAACGCAAAAAACTTAGAAATATATATTTTCCTCCCACCCATTTTTTTTCTTTCACCCATTATTTTTTTTCACCCACCCATTTTTTTTCTCCCCCACTACGTCCCTTCCGGGGTTCCGTAGTTCCGCGAGTGCCGGCCAGATTTCTTACGGTGTGGGAGTAAATTTCTGAAAAAATCGCGGGACCAAGCGACGCACAACTCTCTCTCTCTCTCTCTCTTTCTCTCTCTCTCTCTTACACACACACACACACACACACATCTCTCCCGCGATTTATTCAGAAATTTACTCCCACACCCCCTCTCTCTCTCTCTCTCTCTCTCTCTCTCTCTCTTTCTCACCGCGAGCCTAGGGTCGCATAGAAAGTATTCATTTTCTGAATGGTTTAGGCTCAAGCCAACAGCTTGGTGACGCTGTCTGAGCCTTACGTCATAATTTTTTTTATTACGCCGGTAATACCGGATACCGGGGTAAAATATGGAGGCGGTTTGACGGTATCAAAATTTGGATACCGCCCAAGCCTAGTGTGTGTGTGTGTGTGCGTGTGTGCTATAGATTATTAATTACATGTACTACATCCTACTGCACTGTTAACACACAGTATATATTTTATTTAGTATTTATTCTATTATAAACATGTTAAGAACGCAATAAGAAAATAACATTGAAACATTAAACTTTACTAACAAAAATACTTATAAAATAACAGCTGTAGTTTTTAAATAAACAATTAATGCAACTTTTTTTAACAATAATTGTAATAGATAATATTTAAATAATGGAAGTATCAATGAAATCATCAATAAATTAATTAATCTAAATGTATCAATAAATAAATTTACTTTTATTTAGCAAAATCCTCTGAAAACAAAACAGGTATTATTATGCAGTTCAATTTCCATTATATTTCAACATTTAATATTTCTCAATATCTCATTTCACATTCTATTGTTGTTTAATAATAATCTATGTTTTCATTATGCAATATTATTTATATATTATACCATATTTATACTTATATATTTACCTTTTCTGTTTGATCACATTAGTTTAAACAGCAAACACCATATGCAAAGTTTGTGTTAAGATGGTTTAGACAGTAATTATTTGTTATACAACACAAAACTTTTTTTTTTTACCTGACAATTCAGTAAACATACCTTTCCTATTTTCAACACTGGGCTTTTTAAATTCCCCGGCACGGAAATGACGAAACAGCGCCAAAAATCTACGTGTGGCCAAAAGTATATTGCATCGGTAGTGTTAAGCACTACCATAGAGAATGAATGGGAAAAGTTAAGGAAAGTAAAGCTTACCAGGGTTTTATAAACTATTCGCAGATTTAAATCAGGAAAACTTAAGCATACAACCATACATTGCATAATGAAAATTATAAAAATGTATTACCTTGCAAAAAAGAATTTAAATACCACCTGCATTATTAATTATTCACTAATTGTGAATAAATTGTTTCAGGTCTCTGTAACTACAACCCTGACCACCAGTTTCCGTAGTGTAGTGGTTATCACGTTCGCCTCACACGCGAAAGGTCCCCGGTTCGAAACCGGGCGGAAACAACTTTTAGTTTTGCACCAATGGAAATCTGTTGTAACCTCAACTGTGTAATAGAATACCAGAGGCTATACAGTTTCAGGATTGCAGCTACGGGGCTGCATTTTAGCAGGGTTCCCAATTATCAAATTCTCGGACTTTTCCTTGATTTTCACTAAGAGCCCATTTCTACAACAATTCAGATGAAGAGACTAGAATGATTACAAAATAGAAAAAATACATGTGATAAAAATGATACATATTTTAGTTTACAAAAGCTATCTAATCAACATAAAACAAGCTGCTGTTGTTCTTATACATTAATAATATAATAAATAATGTTAAAATAAAAGCAATAATTAAATGTTTTAGCTTTAATATGATAATACATATAACTTAATGGTTATTTACTTATGATTTTGAAAAAATCTCCCTCTATATATAGTATTTTTTGAAACACGATATTTATCTTTTCTGTCATCTACCTTTTAACGTGGAGTTTTAACACCCCATCTGATTAAAGTCACTACAAGTTGATAAGCATGAAAGGAATAAAATGGAGCTGAAAAATAGCCTGACCACAGTAATAGACATAAAACAATATTCTAAATATTGAATAATGGGAACTAAAATATACTGTGCTAAACTAAAACCCCTGTTATTCCATGACAATACCCTGACCTTCAATGTCTGGAATAGACTTTTTAAAGTTCCATGATATCGCAGAAATAACATATAGCCGTGGGAACCCTGGGTCAAGGAGCCTGTATGTGTGTGTGGTTAAGTTCAGAAAAAAGTTTATCGAGACATACCTTCACAGCGTTTCCGTAGTGTAGTGGTTATCACGTTCGCCTAACACGCGAAAGGTCCCCGGTTCGAAACCGGGCGGAAACAACTTATTCTTATTAACTTACTTGTTGACCTAACATTTTATAAATAATTTGTTCAGTTAAATATGCTCCCTAAAAATTGGTGAACATGTTAACAAAACCTAGGCATGTACCACATATCTTCTTACATATCTATAACAAAAACAATCAACACAATGTTATGACATATATATATATATATATGAATATATATATGAAATCGAATGTCTAGTTTTGTAATAATTGTGTAACGGTTGCATTCTCCTTAAGAACAACGTACAGTATTCAAAACAAAAACACATTCTTAACTAGGACTTTTATCCGTGTTGGGCTGGGACTTTTATACTGAAATCAACTCTGGCTGTTGCAGAACAAGAACTTCAACCCTCGTTTTCAAATACATGCTGAAGGCTTCACACTTCACACGCATTTTATCCAAAATATGCCTGGTTTTAACTACGAGGGTGATCAGGTAATTATCAAATGATTTTAAACGACTTGTGCGTGATGTTAATTTTAGCTTTAGTATTTGATCTGTAGAGATTAATCTGCATCTTTGTACAACGCTAATAAAGTCATATCCAATTCCTACATAAATGTTTCCTCGAAAGACTTGTATTTAACAGTAATCTGTATTCGTTTAGTTTAAACCAGTTTAATTTCGTGGCTGTAATATCTTTCTGCTATATTTAGATTCTGATAACGCATGTTTTGAGGAATTCTTTGTCATTCTACATTTGATTAAGGCATATTTTAAAACATTGTAAGTGCTTAAGTATTTCAATATATAATAATAATATATGACATTGATGATAGTCCTGTGTACTGGATCAGATAAAACAGCTGACGCGAACTAAATCGGAACTCAGCCGCATGAACTGCGTAAAAGTGCGCAGCGATGATGCGCCAGAAGGTTTGTCTTTGTTTGGGTTAAGTGCTGCTGTTTACACTGAACGGATGGGATAGAGATTCTCTGCTCTACATAACATAAACAAATGTCAGTGTTAAAGCGCGTATGGTTTACAGATCATATCGGACGCAGGCCTAATTTGACAGCAGGAGGCTAGCCGTTCCAAGAGGCTTTAAGGACTGAGTGGCGCATTTGAAATAGAGGTCTTTGCTCCAGGATATGATAGCTGTAGCCACACTGAAATGAGTATCAGAGATAAAGAGCTCAGCATACATTTTGAACCCGGCCACGTTGAGCTTGTCCAGGTAAGACTCTTGGTCCATTTTAAGGAAGTGCCTTCCATGGTTTGCAAGCCAAACCAACTTAGTTTATTTCAAATGAATGTCTCATGTTCCAAGCAGGCTTGGCTTGTTTAATGTTTTGTAATGCAAAAAATATTTACAAATGCTATGTTATGCCTATGACATACTTTTATTTTAAATGTTGATTGTGACAGAAGCGCAGATAAACGCAAACCTGTCTCAAGTCTGCCAAGTCTTCAAACTAGATAAATACGAACAATTTGATCTCAATACAGCAAAATGAACGAAACAATTAGTTAGCATGATGTTTAACATTGGCCTATTAAAACAACAGTGACATACTGCTGTATGCTCAGTGGCATTACATTTTAACCCGCTGTAGGTTAATCATATTAACAAGATTGTAAGCGTCTACAATTATGCAAGTCAGTGTTCTCTACTGTTTGCTTGAGAGGAGATTAAAACAAATGAAAATTTGTGGAAAATAAAGTCGAGCTAATGTAATTTAAGACGCATCTCTAACTAGAGCAAGTTATCTTTGGTAATAATGTTATACAAATGCAATGAGGGACTGTGAACATCTATAATGAGATAAGTTTAAAATCCACCCAGCTGTAGTTCCACTAAATGTCCTGAGGGTGGCGCTTAATCTTTTGCGCCGTAGCCTGCACACAGAAGCAAGTTGTTGTTTTTTTGTAGACTGAGGCTGCAGGTTTCAAGCGATTTTCTATTAAATAAAACATTTATATTTTATTTTAAATGGTTATAAAAACCAATTGGCTAAAAAACAATTTCACAATTGTGTACTTTGAGCTTAACGTATAGAAATATGTGTAAGCAGCCATTTACAACAACACAAAATTGCAAATATTAACCCATACCGAAAAAGTCATATAAAAAGGTCTAAATAGTGTACTCAGTTGACTTTCTAAAAGAAATAACAAACAAAACAAATTAATTTAACAAGATTAACTCTTTCCAATATCAGCATATGTGCAATTTACCTCAATAAAGCAAGCGAAGTTCCAACGTCTGAGGTAAGTTGTATTTACCGTTTTTCACGCGCTCCACTTAACTTCAACTTCAGAAACATAGTCAATCACCACTACGACAGCTAGTTTGATAAATGTATCAAAAAACTGTGTAATATTTTACCTTTTTTTGCTTGTCTTGATGCCTGCCTACAGCCATTGTGTTTCCATCGCCATTAGACATTAACGTTACTCATTGTGTTTCCATCGCCATTAGACACCAATTAATGTAATCGACCAATGATGTTGTAAAGGCGTGTTCAGATTCTTTCACAAGCGGCTTTCATTGGTTCTCAGTCTTGTCAATCAAATTTGACCTGAGATCTTCTATGTGTTTTTTTTTTCTACATGTAACGGGCTCTATGCACAGCTAGAGTTTTTAAATAAGATAATTAACAGGGAATACATAAAACATTGATTTGTGCTAATATTGTGTAACCTGAATACAAATTCTACATATTAATTGTACATCTAGTAACACAAATGATACAAGGGATAAGGAAAAAAAAGTACATGAAAGAAAAACAGATAATTAAAGAAAGCAAAATATAAATGTATATCAAAATAAATAAAACATAAATATCTCAAACTATACTTCGATTATTTGGATTGTTACATAGGCGTACCAAAAGGGATCTGATAACTTAAAGGTAATGATTATAATAATATTATTTTTTCAGCAGTTGAATTGTTTTAGCAGCTTTTGCGATAGGCAGACAAATTCATAATAAAGTTTCAAGTCAATGCAAAAGGTTCTAAAATTAGGCAAACACTGAATAACTTAACATTTGTGAAGATGGAAAAGGCAGCAAAAAAGCGTTAAAATTTTTAACATTTTGTTCATTTCCTTATAATCTGACTCCCAAAACAATAAATTAATTTTCTTAAAGTTAAAAAGTTTTTTGTAAGCTGATCGGACAAGCCAAGATCAATTCTTTCTACAATATTGCATTCTAAAAATAAATGCGCTCTTGTTTTCAGATTAGAATTACAGAATGTGCATCGACAAGAATTGTTTATATTAAATTTAGCCAGTAAAGAATTACAGGGATAGTGATTATGAAGGATTTTTAAATAAAGTTCTTTTATCTTATTAGCCACTAAAAACTTATTGATACCAGGCCAAATTTTAATGGTGGACAGAACCGGGTTATTTAATTTCCACTTATCAATAGCTTTCGGGTACAAGCTAGACTTATTAGCAAAATTTCTTCTAACGAACCAATTATTACATTTAATATCAGTAATTTCCACCCCTCCAATAACTGATTTAGCCATTTCACATTTTAAGTCTGTATAAGCACAGGTTCTAGTCAGATGTAATAGGTTTGGAGAAATAGACTTTATAACCCAATATACTCTGGGCGAAATATCCATTCCGTAAAATGAAGAAACTAAAAGAGCAAACGTTACCTTCCGTTTTAATAATTCTAAAATAAAAACTATTCCTCTGTCCACCCATAATTTGATAAAAATAGATTTTTTACTCCGCAGCATATTCCGATTATTCCATATTATAGATTTGTGAAGGGAAAAATTGTGGCAGAAGCTTACTTGCTTCCAAAGCTTGTTTGTGAAAATTGGCAAGTTTTATAGGGAGTTTATTACAGCTAAAATCACAGGCTAATAAAAAATTTAGACCTCCACAATTATCAAATATAAATTTAGGAATGTAAAACCATAACAAATTAGGGTCAGCATTCAGGCAACGTTTAATCCACCCAATTTTGAAAACCTCATCAAAAGTAGGAAAGTCCAAAGCATTTACCCCTCCCTCTAAAATATTTCTTACCAATGTCTTTCTTTTAACATATTCAGTCTTGTTTTTCCACTAGAATTTAAATAACATAGAATCAATAGATGAACATGCTTTCCGGTCATGAAAGAGAGAGCAGGGTAAACAATGAAATACCCTCGGCTTTCGTCAATAACACACGACCATAAATAGTTACATTTCTTTGTAGCCAGCAGTTGAAAATGGACATCTGAATTCATTTAGAAAAGTTATTGGTAATTCTATCAGAGGTACTTTTAATTATTACAATGCCAAGATATTTTACTGAACTTTTTACATCAATACCTTCTATCTTATCCTATCTTATTCTATCTTAAGAACCAGCATACAGTTTTATTATACAACAAATCACTTCACATTCCTTAACAAGAAGGATCAAATAAAAAATAAAATAAATAAAATAAATATAAAAATATAATAAATATAAAATAAATGTAATAAATAATAATATAAAAATGCATATATACAGATATTTTTTTATACAAATATGGTGGAGCATATAACTTTTTTAATTGCTTTTCTATTTTTAGATTTTTAGATTTAGACTTTTATATATATATTTATAGACACATTTCATATATACATATACAGACTTTTATTTTATAGACATTTGAACCTCTTTTTTTCTAGCATCATGAAGAGAGGTTTGCTTTTGGCAAACTTGGATTTATGTATGTGAAATAAATAAATAAAATAAAATGTTTATAAAACCAACATTGTTTAAAGAGTGATCCTTAACATAATAATCCAAAATCACATGTTTATAAGACAAGGAAAATGATTTAAAAATATTATGAGCAATAAAAGCTTCAACATTAATTAAAAAAAGTTGATTATATTGGCAAGATCAAGTTAAATGTGAAATAGTTTTATTAAAGCTTTCACAAAAACAGCATTCTAACTCAATATCAATTTTAAAACCAAATTGTCTATGTGTTGTATTATAAATTTGTCTATAAATCATATTTAAAAAAAAACATTTACCATTTTAATCCTATGTATAAAGTAAGCTGTTGAATAGTTTTGTAATCTTCCTTGTCTCATCATCTAAACTGAATTGTGTAAAATATTTGTATGTAGTGTATTAACATTCTATTAGGGTAAATTACCACTGTTTTGCTTTTAGGATGAGGTCTACACACCATACCGGCGTGTGCTTGTGACTGGTGCAACAGGATTACTGGGCCGTGCTGTCTACAAAGAGTTTAAGAATAATGACTGGGATGCTTTGGGATGTGGCTACAACCGAGCCAGGCCTTTTTTCCTGAAGTGTAATCTACTGGACGAAGATGCAGTGCGAGGGGTTATTCAGAGGTTTCAGGTACCTTAATATCCATCATATTATTTCCCTAACCAGTGAGATCATCTGATATTGCTCTCCTACCACCAATCATACAGTGTTTAATGTGTAAAATATATGTTGTGAATGTCAGCCTCATGTCATTGTGCACTGCGCCGCTGAGAGGAGGCCAGACGTGGTGGAGCGTCACACTGAAGCAGCCATGAACTTGAACGTTCACGCATGTGCTACACTGGCAAAAGAAGCTGGTTAGTCAAATGACAAATCTATGATAGATATGGTTAAACATGGAATAGCGCTTATTAAAATATGTTTCCACAGGTGGCAGTTTCCTCATCTACATCAGCACAGATTATGTTTTTGATGGACGTAATCCTCCCTATGGAGAAAATGATGCTCCCAATCCTTTGAATTTGTATGGAAAGTCCAAGCTAGAGGGGGAGAGGGAGATTCTCAGACACTGCCCAGGTGTGTTCAGTTTTACTATCAGATGTGAACTGTTAATCTTCATCCAAGTCATTCAATCAGTGCTGGCTGCTAGGTTGTAACTAATTACTTTGTAATCTGGATTACAGTTGAAATCTGGATTAAGTAATCAGATTACAAATAGAGAGAGAGAATTTTGAGTTTATCGCCATTTCAGCTTCTTTGGCTATGTCATGGCATAAAAAAAGATCAAGTTTACCACAATTTATCAATAACACTTTTCTATAGTTATAAAAAAAAATATTCTAACAATTAAAAGTCACCAACAGCAGTAAATAATACACAAGGTAAAATACATAAATAATAATAACGATAATATATAGGATAAAAACCTAAACAGTTTTTTAAGGTTTTCTTTTGATAAATTGTACAGTTTTGGAAGGATTCACATTTAAAAAGTCTGCCCAGATAAAAATTTGGATTCCAAGTATTAAGTACAACTAATTAGGTTATGTTACTTAGTCTGCACATTATCAAATTGCATTTACTGTTTTATTAATTGCGTGATTGTATAATTTACAGTTAATTTGTTGGGTATGTTATCATAAATCTTGCTACATTCAGTCTTTATATATGTCAAACATTAGTGTTATTTGTATGTTTGTTCATTTAATACAAACTTTTTTTTTTTCCAGTTAAACACTATAGGCTCTATTTTGACGATCCATGCACAAAGTCCAAAGCGCAGGGCGCAAAAGCATTCAGGGCATGTCAGAATCCACTTTTGCTATTTTAAGGACGAAAAAATCTGCTTTGCGCCACGGCGCATGGACTTACAGGGTTGAGTTTATTCTGTTGATGAGTTATAGATGTGTTTTGAGAATAAACCAATCTGAGTCTCATCTCCCATTCCCTTTTAGAGTCAGTTGCGCCACGCCATAGCGCATTTGCTTACATGGCGGACTTTGTAAGTGGAAAAACTGAACATTTCACTAGAGAGAAAACCGTTAAACAGACCATCTACAGCGCGAGAATGAGAGGATGAGCCTCCTCATTCTTTACTTTCACTTTCAATCTCGTGAATAGGAAAACGTGTTGTACGCACAGATATCCATTAGCCTATACATAATTAATTTTGTTTGTAAGCGCAAAGATTTGTTTCAAAACCATTTCTAAATTCAGTTCTAATTTCCAGCAAATGAATAAATGAACAATAATAATTATTATAGTTATGCTTATTATAGTTATTTCCAAATACACATGTTGTGCCCCATATGGTCTAAAACCTGACAGATGAGCAAATCTAAGCTTGTTTTTAATAAAAAACAAATATAAATATGCAAGTAACAAATAATAAAGCTTTATAACAATAGTACTATACAAAAGCAAATTGTCATGAATAAACTGAAAAAGCCCCCCGAGATGAAGAAGGCATAAAAAGCAGTGGTTTTTATATTTATGTAGGCTAGAAAATAATAATTTTTGTAATATTTTAATCCTTTAATTATTTTTCATTTGTAAAGATATTGCTGTACACCCTGTGTGTATTAAGCAATGTTTTAGTGAGGCGCACTCTAACATGCTCTGCGCTGGACTTTAGACCTCCTCTCTGCTGGTCTATTGAAAAGACTATTTTAGTCCCTCAAAATAGCAATGTGCCGGCAGTGCGCCAAAACTCACCTCCTTTTTTAGACCAGAACGCCTATGAGCGCAAATGCATTTGCTATTTAAACAGCGTGCTTCAAAACGACTCTTGCGCTAAGCTGAAACTACCAAATAACAATTGCATCGCGTCATGCGCCGCATTGCACCGGGTGTATGATAGGGCCCAATAACCTAAAATATTCACTTAATCCCAGAATAGTTTAGTTATTTGCACAAAAATATACAAGCTAAATACATTATTTATTTAAATTAATTTAGCAACATGGTGCACAGATGGTCACATTACATTCAGAAAAACAGATATAAAAGCTTTTAAATGATCAAGCAGTTATTTTTATCACTGTTATTTTAGTATCTGTCACGATTTAATAAATAATTTCCAAACTCACAATCCCTATCTTGTAAGTAATGTCTCGTTTTATACACTCTTTGTTATTGATAAGAAATAATAAAATGTATTTTATTTTTCACATTGTATTTTTAGATCATTATGATATAAAATAATTAGAATTATGTGATGAACATTTTAAACATGCTACTTAAAAATAATTCAAAAATGTAGTCAGATTACATGATCCAAAATTTGAATAAAGATTATAGTACTACAAATTTCAAATTTGGATCACTGGTAATCCACCTAGCACTGGTCCTCATTCATCACCACAGCCGCATAGTGTCAGTACAATTTTAAAAGAAGAGAATTCAATCCTGGTTCTTGGATGTTAAATCAGATTTATTTTGTATATTAACAGAGCAAAAATCCATACAGCAGTAGATAGTGATGTGTATCCTGTCACATTTACTATGCAAATACAGTGCAAAGTTTAAGGTGTGTATTTGTGTATATTTAACTTTATAATGACACTGTGAGTGACTCATCGTTGCAGAAAGGCTTAAATTAACTTCACAACAAATATAACAAATAACAGTTGTAGTAATTGTAGTAAGGGAGATCTGCTTCAGTCTTGTCTGTCACTGTGTTGTTTATCTACATAACGGCAACAGCTCTTACGCACATATGAATGGTAGGCGGGGAGAACTAGCTCAGTTGCATAAAGGCACATGCAACAAAAACAACTACAAAGTCTTAACAGCTCAAATTACCCAGATTTAAAAAGGTATAATAAATAATCTGAGTTCAAACTTTACAGACAAATTCTGGATAAGCAAAAGACTTGTATATTAAATCTTGAAAATGGGGTAAAGTAGGTGCCCTTTAAATTAAATGCATAGAACTCCTTCACTTTTTATTATTTGCTTTACTATTACTCCTTATTACCCTGCACTATAATATTGGGAGAGCATGAAATGTGTGTTTGTGCTTTTGTGCAGGTGCAGCTATACTGCGAGTGCCCATTCTGTTTGGAGAGGTGGAGAAGGTTGAGGAAAGCGCAGTGACCGTGCTGTTTGAACGTGTTCAGGAGGGAGCCGAGAGTTGCACCATAGACCACTGTCAGCAACGCTTTCCCACATACACCAATGATGTGGCTCGTGTCTGTCGGAACATGGCTGAGAGAGCCCTTCAGGTGAGTGCCTTATAGAGTGAATATTCTATAGCAAACACTGGTGTCGTGCTCAGTTTTGGTCAAGCGGTGGATCTGTTGTTTACACCCAGTATTAAGATGTGTTTTTGTCAATCCAATAACAATTGATAAGTATATGAGTAAATGGGGTGAAATGTTTTGAGCTTTAACACTTTGACCACATCCAGAGGTGTTTGAAAGGGCATTTGACCACGTGATGGCTGTTGTAGCGTGAAAACACATGTGGTTATTCGCATTCAAACTGCCAATAACACCTACTTGTCTGTTACTGATATTTGGTAAACGGCACCTTTAGAAATCTTTTCTGAGGAAATTGTTGATTAATTTTCCATAAAGTAAATGCTCTAAAAGTAAAACTGTCCAATGAAAGTTTGATAAAGATAAAAGTCGAATTTTAAGAATTCTAATCATTTTGACTCTTATAATTGTATCCTGTTAATGTACAAC